AAAAAAACCCCCACAAACAAATAATGGGGGTAGGGGGATAATTGAGGGGTTGGGGGCCCCACTATTATAAAAGTGGCCAAAGTTGAGAAAAGTGATCTGGACCATGAGATTTAGAAACGTGCTCTTTCAATCAAAAGCCCAGATTTCCAGTGGGAGGGGGAAAAATTACCTGTTTTCATGCCAGGGGGAGGGACTGGCAAGCTTCCATCCTGTAACTCCCCAGATATTTATAATCCCTTATTCTGGAAATGGCTTACTCGACAGAGGCAACTTGGCTAGATTAGCCTCTTTATTATGGACAGGAACTAAGCCATTTGCACCTCGATTTGCCCACCTCACTACTTAGAAATCAAAGCGTTTCCTGCTCCAGAGTTAAATTCTAGGGTGGCCTTTCAAGTCAATGGGTGCTTGGCTGTTCTCCGGCTGGCCTTGGGAAGCACCTGGTCCGGGCTGACATAACAGTCCTCTGTACCTGGGAATCACCGGTGTCTGCCCCGCCGGCTTCCTCCCTTGCAGAAATGGGTGCTTTGCAACCTTGATGCTGATTCCCAGCCCCAGCGCGATGCCTTCACCCACCTCCCACGCCCTTCCCCAGCGACGAGGGCTGAGATTGTGCATCAAGGGAGGCAGCTCACCTGCCCGTACAGGTTGCGAGCTGTTCAGCCGCCCTGGCCCCAAACCTCTTCCCCAAGTTCTCAGAAGCCGAGAGCCGAGGGCAAGATGAGGCAGGCTGCAGCCTGTCTCCCCCCTCCGTGTTGGCCAGCCACCAATTCCTCCAGCGAAGGGAAGGAAGTGGGAGAGCGGGAGCAGGACAGGTGAGAGGAGGAACAGGTGAGCAGAAGAGCCTGGGGAGGTTTCGCCGGCTGGGAAGAACCACTGGAATCGTGCCAGCCTGGGTCTCTCCAAAGCTGCCTTTCCCACGATGCCCGGGCACCCTGGAGGAGCTCATGAAGTGCAGCTGCAGAGCAGGCACCCGGCCAGATCTGGACCCGCCTTGCTGGCCCACTCGTAGGCAGAAATACCACCTTGCTGGCCTGGTTCTTAAGCCTCCACCACTCCACACTTCCGCGGGGTTCACCCTATGTCTAACGCTACATCCAGGTCACTCAGGTGCCACTGCCACCTTCACATTACATGCGGTGACCAGGCAAACCGCGTCATGGTTTAACACGAATGATGGCCTGTGCAGGAGGTGAGAAGGGTTGGGTTTCCACGCCACATTTTTCTGGGTTAGAGTGACGCCCCTTCTTTTCTCCAGCTGCGCTAGAGTGCTTACAGAGGGGTTACAGCCTCCACCACCACCAACCTGGCCCACTTTTAGCCTACTTAGGATGTTGGGTAAACAGATGCACCCAGAGCCAGGAGCCGCCACAAGGGATCCGCTGATGCAGCCGGGCGGTTGGGACAATACTTGGACTGAGTTTTTCAGCGAGGTTAAAACCTTTCAAAGCAGGGTCAGGATCTTTCCTTTCTGTTATCATCTGGCAGGTAGACCGTTTGGGGGGGTCGTGTAAAAAGGGGCAGGGCTCCAGTGGGGTGGGCATGGCCACGATCTTGACCTTTCTGGCTCTCCCTGGGAACACGAAAGATGCCAGGGGGCAGAGAGCCTCTGGACCAGTGTTTCTCAACCTCGGCAACTGGAAGACTGGGTTCTGGCTGGCTGGGGAATTCTGGGAATTGAAGTCCACGCGTCTTCCAGTTGCCGAGGTTGAGAAACATTGCTCTGGACGCTAGTCCCCCGATCAGCAGGCTCCAAATGCCACGGCAACCCCAATTCTGTAGAATGATGGAGGCCCCGGACCTCAGATTAGAAGATGACCCCAAAGCAGCATTAAGTACCCCACGTTAAGCTCATCTTCTCTTAACTGCGGTTAGTCCTTTTGGGGCTCTGTCCGCGCTGCACACTCGCCCTCTGTCTAATTCATGATTCAGTGCATTACAGGAACTGAGCAAACAGGTTCACCCAGTCCCGAAGTCAAAGCTCAGTGCCAACCCAGCCATCAGGTTATGCACCGCACACCGCCCAAAAAGTGGCGGCGGCGCGGTTGTCAGCCACATCGAGGCAACAAAATGCTCGCTCGTGATCATGTAGCCTCGCCCGATACGAAAGAAACACGGGACATCAGAATCGTAGGGCGAACAGCAAAACCACGTCAAGGAATCTTTACAGTATATTACAGTCCTGCTACATTCAGCCTGCCAGAGAGGTTTCGTTTCTTTTTGCAAAATGGGGGCCGAGGGAAGGGGGCCGGGTGGTCTCCCCCACACCCCTTCCAGGCGCCCTCTCACTGTTCTTGACGACAATGCCCCATCCTCCCAGCCGCTTCAAATACCAGCCCCGTAGACAAGGTTGCAGTCTGGTACGTGTGGGGTGAGGGGCGGTCGGGGGGCACGTAGATTCCCCCCCACCTTATTGTCCTGGGGGATATTGTTTGGCCAATGTAGTAGCCAATCTCTGGCCAGATGTGGCCCGGGCCCTCCAGGCACAGCTGCCCTTTCGAATGGTCTCCTCTGGAGCGAGGACCGAAGACGACTTTCTGCTCTCGCAGAAGGTCCGGCAAAGGCCGCAACGGCGCTTCTCCTTTAGGGACCTCCTGTCGTCCGAGGAGCCGCAGGGGACACGAGACCCTTCCTTGCCCTTCCTGTCTTTCCAACTGGCCTCCTGCAGGGAGCGCCCGACAGCTAGACCACTGGAACATCTGCCTGGTGACACCAGGAGCCTTGCAGATGGCCTCTGCCTGCCCTCGGAGCACGGCAGCTTTCGGAGAGGGGCGAAAAGGAGACGTGAATTGGGGACCCCCTTCCAGAGCAGAAAGGACACCAGTGTTCTCAGTGGCCGAGAAGGCGCGTCACGGGCTGTTTCGGAGGGCGTGAAAGGAGTCTGCCCCAGCGCCCACACCTCTCCGGCGCCGTTTCCACACGCTCCGCCACCCTCTTCCGGTCAGAGCGGTGGTCTTGCTAAAACCGAGGCGACGTTCAGCCGGTTCAGTTTGGCCCTCTCCTGGTTGGAGATGTCTACCTTGGGGACCCCCGCAGGAGGGGGCGCCCCCTTGGCCGTGCCACCGGCCTCCCCCGGCCCTCGCTCGGCATCCCCGTGGGGGATGTTGCGAATGAGCTGGACGGCGTCCGGCTGCAGGCTGTTGTTGCCAGGAGGCTCCGTTCTTCCGGGTAGCCTCTGCAGGGACCGGCGGTGGACCCAAAGCAGCAGCAGCACCGAGATGGGGACCACCCCGGCGAGGAGTAGAACGGGTGGAAGCACAGCAGATAGGAGTGCGGCGTGGCTCTCTCCTAAAAGGAACCATGTTCTCTGTAAGCCAAGAGCGATGCACTCCTTCACTTTCCAAAAACGCCTCAAGGCCCCCTCCCCAGTGCCTTTCCACTTGGTCTCCCATCCTTGACTGTGAAATCAGAATCCTTTCTGCAGTCTACCCCAGCTGAGGTACACGCTTTCTGTGATGCTAAACCTCTGCTTCTCGTTCTCATTCACTGCCCTCAGGGAAGGATGAAGGGGAAGTCTTCCAAGGGGAGGAGGGTCAAAAAAGGCAAGATGGCTACTGTATGGTCAAAGCCACACCTGTGAAAAGGGCGTGGCTTTGGCTGCACAGTTGGGATCTTGAATTTTGGAACCCCATCCCACCCCTGTGGACATTCCCACAATGAATTTATTTCTGAAAGGTGTAGGGCGCCCAATTCTACCCTGGCTCTGGGCAGCGTACCATGCAAAGCTATTAAAACCAGAACAGAACAGAGATCCTGCAAGGAAAAATGTCTGGAAAAGTAGCCGTCACTATCAGACCAAGCATCTCGCAAGGGATCCACCCACCGCTCTAATCTAAGGTTGGGGGGAAGACCCAGATTTTAAGGGCTCACTGAAACAGGGTCAGGGTGGGGGCCATATAAATCAGCACCAGAAATGCTTTCTGTATGAGGTCTTAGTGTTTCTCAACCTTGGCAACTTGAAGCTGTGTGGACTTCAACTCCCAGAATTCCTCAGCCAGCAAGGCTGGCTGAGGAATTCTGGGAATTGAAGTCCACACAGCTTCAAGTTGCCATGGTTGAGAAACACTGTCTTAGAAGATCAGCATGAATGGCAGTGCCCAGCCGTGCCAAAACGTAAGCAGGAAGAACTGAAACGTCCAACCTTCTGGGAATTCATTTCTGCTGACCACCCTCAGCACTGCCCCCCAGCACCCACCTTTGCACCCGTCACCCAAACAGGGCTCTTGCAGGTTCTGACACGCGGCACCTTCAGGGCACAAGCAGGCGTAGCTTCCTCCTCCACCCTGGCAGGAGGCACCTTTGGGGCAAGGGTTTGGAGAGCAAAGATTGAAAAACACCGGCAGGAGAAACCGGGGGGGGGGGGGGAGGGGGGGGGGAGATATTCTGAGCTGCCATTCCTCGGACAATTATAAATTTAATAAATACATTTTTAAAA